CACAGAGGCTGCTGGATACCCAAGCAGTTCCTTTTAAAGGGCCAGTGCACAAACTTACATGGTCCCACTCCCTCTGAGCTCCAGTGCTGGGGCAATTGCTTGGAGAGAGCCTGGGATATATAGGGAGGAACTGGACTGTCTGGCATCGGGGCAGGAACTAGGGGGCAGCTTTCTTCCAGACACAAGTGCTGGTAGCGGTCATTGTTCTTATTCTGGGACCTCTCCCATCACAGAGCTGACTAGTAGCCATATCTGAGTCTCCATCAGCCTGGCTCACACTGTTCGCTCAGCACTGGTGACTCCTGACCCCCATGCCACCCAATTGCAGCTTCACCCAAAATGTTTGTAGCAACTTTTCCATCTGAATGGCAGATCTGCAGATCGCTCTGTAGCTCCTGATGGCTGGCCGCAGGCAGTGGCTGACTTTGCACCTCCCAGAGGCAGTGCACCCAGTATACAGCTTCAGACCACACCAGATTACAACTCTACATGTTCACAAGGAACACACTCAAGGGACAGACTTAGTGAGCACCAAAGCCCCATAGAAGCAAGGCTTTCTCCAGAAGGGTGTCTCCTGCACAGCAGCTCTTCCACTGTAGTCACAGCTGGTCCTCATAGTCAATTGGCCCAGAGGTCAACTCCTCCCACTGACACCAACAGCAATCAAGGCTGAACTATAACAAAACTGTGCTCGTAGCCCATACAGGGGTGCACTTAGGGCCCAGCTTAGGTGACTGGGGAGGCTGAGCCACTGGAACCTACAGGAAACCTACTACACAAGGCCACTCTACCAACTCCAGGAAACATAGCTCTACTTAACACATAGAAGCAAACACAGGGAAGAAGCCAAAATGTGGACACAAAGAAACATGTCACAAATGAAAGAAATGGAGAAATCTCCAGAAAAGAACTAAATGAAATGAAAGCAAGCAAACTACTGATACAGAGTTCAAAGCAATGGTTATAAGGATGCTCAAGGAACTTAATGAGAGCTTTAGGGGACTTAGTGAGACTTTAAAGATCTTAGTGATAATTTTAAGGATCTTAGTGAGAACGTCAATGTCGTGAAAAAGGACCAGTCAAAAATGGAGGATACACTAACTGAAATGAAGAATAATTTACAGGGAACCAACAGTAGAATAGAGGATTTCAAGAATCAAATCAATGGTTTGTAATATGAGGAAGCAAAAAACACCCAACCAGAAGATCAAAAAGAAAAAAGAATCCAGCCCTAACTGGTGTGGCTCAGTGGATAGAGCATCAGCCTGTGGACTGACGGGTCCCAGGTTCGATTCTGGTCAAGGGCATGTACCTTGGTTGCAGGCACATCCCCAGTAGGGGGCATGCAGGAGGCCGCTGATTGATGTTTCTCTCTCATTGATATTTCTAACTCTCTATCCCTATCTCTTTCGCTCTGTAAAAAAATCAATAAAATATATATTTTTATATTAAAAAATATATATACATATATATATTTTAAAAATAAATAATTGTATGTTAAAAAAAAAAAGAAAGAAAAAAATAATCCAAAAATATAAAGATAGAATAAGGAATTTCTGGGACAACTTCAAGCAACATACACCTTATGGGGGTGCCTGAAGAAGAAGAGAGAGAATAAGGTATTGAAACCCTATTTGAAAAAATAATGACAAAACTTCCCCTACCTGGTAAAAGAAATAGACTTCAAAGTCCAGGAAGCACAAAGAGGCTCACACCAAGACACATCATAATTGAAATACCAAGGATTAAAGACAAAGAGAGAATATTAAAAGCAGCAAAAGAAAAACAGATAATGACTTATAAGGAAGTGCCCATATGATTGTCAGCTAATTATTCAACAGAAATTTTGCAAGCCAGAAGGGAGTGGCAAGAAATAGTCAAAGCTATAAACAGCAAGGATCTATAACAGATTATGCAGCAAAGCACTCACTTAGAATTGAAGGTCAGAGAGTGCTTCACAGACAAGAAAAAGCTAAAGGGGAGGATAGGTGTGGCTGGGAGAGATCAATGGGGGGGGGGGAGGCATATTTAATACTTTAATCAATAAAGAATTTTTTTTAAAAGGAAAGGCTAAGAGTTCATCATCACCAAACCAGTATTATGTGAAATGTTGAAAGGTCTTTTTTAAGAAGAGAAAGAAGGAGAAGGAGAAGGAGGAAGAGAATGAGGAAGAAGTGAAGGGGGAGAAGGAGGAGGAGAAGGAAGAAAGATAAAAAAATATGAACACACACAAAATAAATATGAACAATTGGCAATAAATACATATCTATCAACAATTGAATCTAAAAGTCAAAATAAAGGAACAAGAAATCTAATGAGCAAAACAAGGAATCTATCTATATAAAAGCTATATATCTGTGACGTGCACGGACCCACTTAGATGAAGAGAGAAACAGGCGACTGAGTCTATGAAAGGTCGCAAACAGGTGGGGATGTGCTGCAGTTCCCATGGGGAGGCTGGGCCATCGGCCAAACTCAGCCGCTGCCCAGGCACCGCTCTGGAGGTGTGGCACCCCCGACCCCTGACCCCTGTCAATCCTTCCACCACGTCCTCCCCGGGAAGCTGGGACCAAGGGACAGAGGGAGGGAAAAAGAGACCATGAACTCCATCCCCAGAGCCTGCCCCCTCCTATCAGCCGGAGCCAGCCCAGAACTTGCAGGAAGGGCACAAAGTGGGTAGCCTTGCCACACAGATGCCATGACTCCCTGATCTGCCCAGGGTACCCCTCAGGCACTCACCCCACTTCTGCACGCCTCCCTAGCGAGGCCATGGGAGCTCTGCCCTAGGGACCCACTTCTCCATAGCTGGGTGCAGCAGACAGCAGATGCAAGGGGCAGCGGTGGCGGAAGACAAAGGCAGACACCCAGCTGACGGGAATGAGAGAGAGCGGCTCCTCCCTGGCCGGCTTCACGCACTTCTGTCACTCAGGGGATGTCGGATTCCTTTTTGAGCCTGATCCCCACAGGCAGCACAGAGGGACCCCACCAGTGCGCGAATCCATGCACCAGGCCTCTAGTCACATGAATAAAATAGATCCAGTCATAGAACCCGATGAATCTCGGGAGGGGGAGGGGGTGGTGGAACAGGCTAACAAAGAACTTACAGCCATACATGCATTACCCATGGGCATAGACAATAGGGTGGTAAAGGCCTGGGGCGGGATGGGAACTGGGTGGAGGAAGGGTAATGGGGGGAAAAGAGGGACATCTGTAGTAATCTCAACAATAAAGATTTTAAAAATCAATAAAACAGTAAGTGGCTAGTCGCTCATTGGTTAGAGCAGTGGCCTGCTCACCAAAGGACCAAGGGTTTGATTCCTGCTCAAGGGTCCAGTTGCAGGTCCAATCCCCGGCCTAGGTTGGGATTGCAGGAAGCAACCATCAATGTGTCTCTCTCATCAATGTTTCTCTCTCTCTCTCTCTCTCTCTCTCTCTCTCTCTCTCTCTCTCTCTCTCTCTCTCTTTCTCTCTCTCCCTCTCTCTCTCTGTCTCTTCCTCCTTCCCATCCACTCTCTCTAAAAAGAATCAGTAAAAAAAATTTCCTCAGGTGAGGGTTAACAAAAATAATAATAACCCTAACCGGTTTGGCTCAGTGAATGGAGCGTTGGCCTGCAGACTCAAAGGTCCCAGGTTCGATTCCAGTCAAGGGCATGTACCTTGGTTGTGGGCACATCCCCAGTGAGGGGTGTACAGGAGGCAGCTGATTGATGTTTCTCTCTCATCGATGTTTCTGGCTCTCTCTCCCTCTCCCTTCCTCTCTGTGAAGAATCAATGAAATATATTTAAAATAATAATAAGTAAATAAAATAACAGTAAGTGACTGAGCTGGGGGTTGTCGGTAAGGCAGATCAGACCGGTGTCGACAGGCATGTCCTGGTCAGACTTGAGAGGAGGCTCGCTGGCACTGACCTTGACCTTTGGACAGAGTCATTAAGGGGGATCAGCATGAACCAGGTGCAGAGGGTGGGATGACTGGGGGAGGGAGTCCAATGGGGGAAGGCCTTATTGGGGTGGAGAGTCCAGGTCATTTGGACAAAGGCCAGGGCTCATGTAGGCACTGAGGGCCCTCTCCTGCCCACCAGCCACCGCTCCGGCAAGGCCACCTTGTGGGGATCCCTGCCACCCGCTCCTCCCTGAGGTGTGCTCTGAGTGAACGGCCTCAGTGTGCTCCGAGTGGACACATGAAATATCAGACAGTGCGTGTACTCTCGGGAGCAAGCCTGTAAAATAAAAGCACTGTCCCTCGACCAGGAGTTCGCCGGGAGCTGGGCAGGGCGGCCGAGGGGGAAGGGAGGGACCATGCACACGTTTGGGCCTGGGCCTCGATCTATTGTAGATCACACTGTGGCACCTGCACACGGTGGTTCCTGGGAAAAGAAAGTGGCTTCACCTCCAACGTTCACCGAGGCGCGCTCCGGGCCTCCCGGTGTCCCGGGACACGGCTGTTCTGTGCAGCGGTATCCGTCCCCTCCCAGCAGCATCCTCCTGTTTGGAGCCCAGACCTGCTCCCGAACCCCCCGACACCCGCCAGCCCTCCAGACCCCGCCAGCGTGGCTCCGGGCCCACACCTGCTCCCGGCCGCCCTCCCGACCCGGCCTATGCCTCCAGCCTGGCGCAAGCAGCCGCCCTGAGGGAGAGCCCGTTCGCTGCCCCTCCAGCACCTCTGCCCTGGCCTGGCCCTCCCGTCCTGTCCTGGCAGCGAGGGGCGGTGGCCCGGGCTGGGTCTGCACGGACAGAGCCCTCTGGCCCAGGGGGGGGGGGGGAGCGCCTGTCTGCGCTGGGCCCGCAGCCTGTCCCCCTCCCTCTGGCCCAGGGGGGAGGGGGGGAGCGCCTGTCTGCGCTGGGCCCGCAGCCTGTCCCCCTCCCTCTGGCCCAGGGGGTGGGGAGCGCCTGTCTGCGCTGGGCCCGCAGCCCGTCCCCCTCCCGAAGGCCAGGCCCGGGGGCGGCGCCCTGGTTGTGCATGGGGTGCGGGCCGCGCCCTGACGCTCTTCCCGTTGCAGGCCTACATGGAGGACCACCTGCGGAACAAGAACCGGCTGGAGCAGGAGTGGGAGGCGCTGTGCGCGTACCAGGCGGAGCCCAGCAGCACGCTCGTGGCCCAGCGGGAGGAGAACGCGCCCAAGAACCGCTGCCCGGCGGTGCTGGCCTGTGCGTACCGGGCGCCGGGGAGGGCGGGCAGGCGAACCTGTCTCCCCCGTCCCCATGTCAGGCTCACGCCGGGAGGCCCCTCCCCACCCCACCCACCCCCACTGCCCTCCCTGCTGCAGCCTGACCCCACTGAGCAGCAGTGTGGCTCCCCGTGAGGCCATCCCGGCCTGAAACCACAGCCCAGGGGGCTGTCCTGGTGCCGTGGGTCCCTCACAGCCTGGTCGTCGCAGCGGGAGCATCGGTTGCCCCAGCAACAAGGCACTGTGAGGGCTGGAGGGGATGGCATGGTGCCGGCCGTGGGCAGCATCCCCTGTGGACGCTACCTGGCCAGGAACCACTGACAGTGGAAAAGCAGAAAGAAAAGCCCCACCAACAGCTATTTATTAAGCACCTACTGTGTGCCAGGGACGGGTGACAGACTCCGGTGAGCCCTCTGTCCTCGGACCCGGACGGAGGGCAGTTGGGAAGAAGCAGATCTCGGGGGCGCCGGGTCAGGTGCGGCTGGGCTGGCAGGTCTGGTGGCGGTGTCAGCCCCAAGCCCTTCCCGGCACCTCCCCTGTGGAGCCCAGACACCAGGGCCCAGGGCGGTACAGCCCTCTGGCGTTGCGCAGACACAGGGACCAGGCCCGGCTGCGGCGAGCCCCTCTGACCAGAGCCGGAGCCTCGGGCAGGAGCCACCTCCTTCCTGGGAGTCGGAAAGGCCGCCGTGCTGACCAGTTCGGGCAGCGCGCCGAGGGGCGTGAGGAGCAGCCCTGCTGGGGGGTGGGGGGGACAGAGAGTCCACACGCCTGGGGGGGTGGATAAAGGGCCATCCCTCTCCCGCTCACAGCCCCTCCTCCGGCTGGAGGGAAACTATCAGGAGGACCCCCCGCCGGATGGGGACCCGGGGCGTCTCTCATGCTGGCGTGTCGCCACAGCCCTGCGGGAGAGCCTTGGCGTGAGCGGGTGGGGCCAGCCTGAGGACCCCCACCCGCGGCCTCAGGCAGTACCTCCCTCACGGCCCCCTCGCCTGGCGGTGGGAGTTTGCTGTGGGCAGGCCACGCTGGCTTGCGAGCGTGGGTCTTTCTGCTGTGAGCCCGACGTGGGCCTGTGCCGTCCTGCGCCGTCCTGCCGTGCGCTCTCTGGGAGGTTTTCACCCCCAGTTCCCGGTTCCTCCTGCTCCATGCTCTCCATCCATGCATTCTATAAGCTCAGCTACACCTGCAAGCCATTGACAAAACCCTGACAGAGTAACCTGGGGCGGGCGGGGAGGCCCGAGGTGGCCGTCCCGGCAGGCAGCGGGCTCTGCAGCCTCGAGGCCCTGGTGCCTGCGGGTGCTGGCCAGGTGCAGCCACCAGGCGCCAAGAGCAATGCCACCGCAGCGTCCCTTCCCCACCCCTGGGCGGCGTGGACTGTCTCCACGGCAGTGCAGGTCGCCCTCCTGACCCAGAGGCCCTGGCGCAGGGACCTGTGGGCCTCCCGGCGCCCGGTGCAGAGGAGAAATGGCTGCTCGGCAAAGCTGCTCAGCACAGCCCGCACTCCTCGTGCTGACCCCGCACTCACTCACTGAACCACAGGCGATCGTCAGCCACGCACAACGGCTCCTGGACCGTGGGCCGTTTTTGTTGGTGTGCATGTGTATGTGGGGGGTGTGAGTGTGTGTGTGTGTGAGTGAGTTTACATGTATGTATGTGAGGGTGGGAGTGTATGTTTAAGAGTGTGTGTGAGTGTGTGTGGGGGGTGTGAATGGGTGTTTATGTAAGTGTGAGTTAGTGTGTGAGTGTAAATGAGTGTGTTTGGGTATGTGTATGAGGGCGTGTATGTGTGTGTGAGTGTGCATGTGTGTGGGGTGTGAATGAGTGTGTGTGACAATTGAGTGTGTATGTGTGAGAGTGTGCATGTGTGTATGTGACAGTGAAGGTGTTTGAGTGTCTGCATGTGTGAGTGTGTGGGTATGAGTGTGAGTGTGAGTGTGTGACTGTGAATGTGTGTATGTATATGTTAGTGTATGGGTGTGTGTGTGTGAGGGTGTAGGTGTGGGTGTGTGTGTGTGAGGGTGTAAGTGTGGGTGAGGGTGTGTGAGCGTGTAGGTGTGGGTAAGGGTGTGTGAGGGTGTAGGTGTGGGTGAGGGTCTGTGAGCGTGTAGGTGGGTGAGGGTGTGTGAGCGTGTAGGTGTGGGTGAGGGTGTGTGAGCTTGTAGGTGGGTGAGGGTGTGTGAGGGTGTAGGTGTGGGTGAGGGTCTGTGAGCGTGTAGGTGGGTGAGGGTGTGTAAGCGTGTAGGTGTGGGTGAGGGTGTGTGAGCTTGTAGGTGGGTGAGGGTGTGTGAGGGTGTAGGTGTGGGTGAGGGTGTGTGAGGGTGTAGGTGTGGGTGAGGGTGTGTTAGTGTGTAGCTGTGGGTGAGGGTGTGTGAGTGTGTAGGTGTGGGTGAGGGTATGTGAGGGTGTAGGTGTGGGTGAGGGTGTGTGGGTGTGTAGGTGTGGGTGAGGGTGTGTGAGGGTGTAGGTGTGGGTGAGGGTGTGTGGGTGTGTAGGTGTGGGTGAGGGTGTGTGAGGGTGTAGGTGTGGGTGAGGGTGTGTGAGTGAGGGTGTGTGGGTGTGTAGGTGTGGGTGAGGGTGGGTGAGCATGTAGGTGTGGGTGAGGGTGTGTGAGGGTGTAGGTGTGGGTGAGGGTGTGGGAGCGTGTAGGTGTGGGTGAGGGTGTGTGAGGGTGTAGGTGTGGGTGAGGGTGGGTGAGCGTGTAGGTGTGGGTGAGGGTGTGTGAGCGTGCAGGTGTGGGTGAGGGTGTGTGAGCGTGTAGGTGTGGGTGAGGGTGGGTGAGCGTGTAGGTGTGGGTGAGTGTGTGTGAGCGTGTAGGTGTGGGTGAGGGTGTGTGAGGGTGTAGGTGTGGGTGAGGGTGTGTGAGGGTGTAGGTGTGGGTGAGTGTGTGTGAGTGTAGGTGTGGGTGAGGGTGTGTGTGTAGGTGCGTGTGTGTGAGCGTGTAGGTGTGGGTGAGGGTGTGAGTGAGGGTGTGTGGGTGTGTAGGTGTGGGTGAGGGTGTGTGAGCATGCAGGTGTGGGTGAGGGTGTGTGAGGGTGTAGGTGTGGGTGAGGGTGTGTGGGTGTGTAGGTGTGGGTGAGGGTGTGTGAGGGTGTAGGTGTGGGTGAGGGTGTGTGAGGGGGCAGGTGTGGGTGAGGGTGTGTGAGTGTGTAGGTGGGTGAGTGTGTAGGTGTGGGTGAGGGTGTATGAGTGAGGGTGTGTGGGTGTGTAGGTGTGGGTGAGGGTGGGTGAGCGTGTAGGTGTGGGTGAGGGTGTGTGAGGTTGTAGGTGTGGGTGAGGGTGTGTGAGTGTGTAGGTGGGTGAGTGTGTAGGTGTGGGTGAGGGTGTGTGGGTGTGTAGGTGTGGGTGAGGGTGTGTGAGCATGCAGGTGTGGGTGAGGGTGTGTGAGGGTGTAGGTGTGGGTGAGGGTGTGTGGGTGTGTAGGTGTGGGTGAGGGTGTGTGAGGGTGTAGGTGTGGGTGAGGGTGTGTGAGGGGGCAGGTGTGGGTGAGGGTGTGTGAGTGTGTAGGTGGGTGAGTGTGTAGGTGTGGGTGAGGGTGTATGAGTGAGGGTGTGTGGGTGTGTAGGTGTGGGTGAGGGTGGGTGAGCGTGTAGGTGTGGGTGAGGGTGTGTGAGGTTGTAGGTGTGGGTGAGGGTGTGTGAGTGTGTAGGTGGGTGAGTGTGTAGGTGTGGGTGAGGGTGTATGAGTGAGGGTGTGTGGGTGTGTAGGTGTGGGTGAGGGTGTGTGAGCATGTAGGTGTGGGTGAGGGTGTGTGAGGGTGTAGGTGTGGGTGAGGGTGGGTGAGCGTGTAGGTGTGGGTGAGGGTGTGTGAGTGTGTAGGTGGGTGAGTGTGTGTGAGTGTAGGTGTGGGTGAGGGTGTGTGTGTAGGTGCGTGTGTGAGAGCGTGTAGGTGTGGGTGAGGATGTGAGTGAGGGTGTAGGTGTGGGTGAGGGTGTGTGAGGGTGTAGGTGTGGGTGAGGGTGTGTGAGGGTGTAGGTGTGGGTGAGGGTGTGTGAGGGGGTAGGTGTGGGTGAGGCTGTGTGAGTGGGTAGGTGTGGGTGAGTGTGTGTGAGTGTGTAGGTGGGTGAGTGTGTGTGAGTGTAGGTGTGGGTGAGGGTGTGTGTGTAGGTGCGTGTGGGTGAGGGTGTAGGTGTGGGTAAGGGTGTGAGTGAGGGTGTGTGGGTGTGTAGGTGTGGGTGAGGGTGTGTGAGCATGCAGGTGTGGGTGAGGGTGTGTGAGGGTGTAGGTGTGGGTGAGGGTGTGTGGGTGTGTAGGTGTGGGTGAGGGTGTGTGAGCATGCAGGTGTGGGTGAGGGTGTGTGAGTGTGTAGGTGTGGGTGAGGGTGTGTAAGTGTGTAGGTGTGGGTGAGGGTGTAGGCGTGGGTGAGGGTGTGTGTGTGTAGGTTTGGTGAGGGTGTGTGAGGGTGTAGGTATGGGTGAGGGTGTTTGATCGTGTAGGTGTGGGTGAGGTTGTGTGAGTGAGGGTGTGTGGGTGTGTAGGTGTGGGTGAGGGTGTGAGGGTGTAGGTGTGGGTGAGGGTGTGTGGGTGTGTAGGTGTGGGTGAGGGTGTGTGAGGGTGTAGGTGTGAGTGTGGGTGTGTGAGGGGGTAGGTGTGGGTGAGGGTGTGTGAGGGGGTAGGTGTGGGTGAAGGTGTGTGAGTGAGGGTGTGTGGGTGTGTAGGTGTGAGTGAGGGTGTCTGAGGGGGTAGGTATGGGTGAGTGTGTGTGAGGGGGTAGGTGTGGGTGAAGGTGTGTGAGTGAGGGTGTGTGGGTGTGTAGGTGTGGGTGAGGGTGTCTGAGGGTGTAGGTATGGGTGAGTGTGTGTGAGGGGGTAGGTGTGGGTGAGGGTGTAGGTGGGAGTGAGGGTGTACCAGTGTGTGTGGGGGTGGGTGTGTGCTTTATTTATTTGCTGTTGGAAGTGCGTCACAGTGAGTTCCAGGCGTCACGCCCTCTCACTGCTGTAGCCTGCGTCTCCTAAGAACAAGGCGCATGCCTGCCCTCCTGCCCGT